CGAGGGGGAAGGCCCCCCCCCCCCCCCCCAAGCAATTGGTGCCTAGGAGGGCAGGGCAGGGACATGTGGGGCACCCCAATTAGCAGTTAAAATTTGGGCAGGTGTGTAGGGGACACAGTATCCCTCCCCAGAGCTTCCCCAGGAACCTGTGCCAGATAGTTTAACCAAAAATACTGACCCCCCCCCCCAAAAAAAATACAGGGAAAAAATTGAGGGGAAAAAAGGGGGAGGCCAAAGATGTTGGAGGAGGGCAGGGCAGGGACATGTGGGGCACCCCAATTAGCAGTTAAAATTTGGGCAGGTGTGTAGGGGACACAGTATCCCTCCCCAGAGCTTCCCCAGGAACCTGTGCCAGATAGTTTAACCAAAAATACTGACCCCCCCCCCCAAAAAAAATACAGGGAAAAAATTGAGGGGAAAAAAGGGGGAGGCCAAAGATGTTGGAAAAAAAAAGGTCTCCAACATCAGTTATTAAGCTATAAATACATAAATAAACAAACCAGCATAGCCCCTTTAAAAAGAGGCTTTCTGCCAGCAGCCATATTGTTTTTCTGCCCCCAGCCACAAGACAGCTTGCCTGCAGAACCAACTAAGTGAGCAGGGGAGGGGCGAAGAGAGAGATAAATATTGCTGCACCTCATTTGCATACCTAATGAGCCACTATTCTTGCATAAGGAGGACCAGTCTACATTACTCCTTCTTGCACAAAACCTCTCTCTTGCGCAAGAGCTGTTTTCCTGAAAATAAGCGGCAGAACAGCTCTTGCTCAAAAGGGTTTTTTTGTACCAGCAGCAGTATAGACTGGTCCTTGTGCAAAAGCCCCTTGCACAAAAATGGTGGCTCATTAGGTATGCAAATGCTGCAGCTGCTTTTGTGGAAAAACTTGCCAGTCTAGACACAGCCCCCTTAGTTTAAAAAGTCTGACCTCAAATCTCTTCTATTTCATATCTACAAACTTAAACCCATTGCCCAAAGTAACACCATTAACTTGTTTTTGTTCTCTATTAGAAATCTAAAAAACATTTTAAAATTAACTTAAAAATCCTAGCAGGTACACATGCTGAAGACTCTGCAGAATAAGGCTTATACTGCTGCCAGCATCAAAGCCAGTGGGACTGAGGCTGGTGTACACTGGCAGCCAGTGCACCTCAGGAGTTGGCTTACATGCACCAGTGAAGAGCTTAACAGTAACTCAGGGATTGGGAACCTTATTTGGGCAAACTGGGGACCACATCTGGCTCCTGGGCCCAAAATTCCCCACTCCAGCTGTAATTGAAAGAGATAAGCTAATGCTTATCAGTTAAATATTAAAACTCTTACACCCTTACGGTCTGTGTTGTAAAGCAGGCTTTTTCTGTCCATAGCCTTCGCGTATAGCCCATCCTGCCACACAAGGCCCCTCACACAAAACCCAGATACTCAGAGGAGCATAGGCAGCACAATGCAGTTTTTGTGAATGGAATTTGACCTTATAGGCATCCTGGAACTCAAAGGCACCAAGAAAATAGGGAGGAAAGCATAACTAGCTAACGCCTAGCTGAATTTACAGATAAGCCTCATTTGACCGTAGCTTAACCAGTCTTAGGGGCAAGGGAAAAAGTAAACATAGGGTAATAAAACACAATTGTCTTACACTAACTATGCCCCATCTGGTCCTGTCCACGAGGGGATCACGCATACATCATGAAAATTCCTATAGGGTAGTATTGTCATACTACCTCATCACTAGCCTATCAGGCCCTGCCAAATGCAGACCCTAGCATGGCATCAGACACCGATTTTTTGTATAAAAGACCCTCTATCCCTTTGTTCGACGGAGGTTCCGTGTATTGAGGGCACGTGTCTTTTTTTTTTTGCCCGGCTAAAGGATTGATCACCCTGAGGCTGCCTCCCCACCCTTCGAGTCAAATATAGGGGTGCACGAGTCCTGAGCATACTCCTAGTTCTAATGTGTCTTTGTGTTGTTCTCGTTGTTGGATTTGTAAGTATTGCTTAAATGTATTAGTTACTGGTTTAATTAATAGTTAAATTGTGTTAATTTCACTGTGTAATTCTGTAAAGCGTATCTAAGTTCTGTTAACCACGCTGTGTAAATTGTATAATTTTGTATTGTATAGTAGTGTGGTATTTAGGTTAAGTATAAGTGTTAGAAATAGAAGCCCTGGAGTTGTTAAGTTGTAAAAGTAGATTTATGACTAACTCCACCAGCTGCCCTAAAATAACCATAGAGGAGCTGGCTTTAGACAAAGTTTTTATTATCATTATATTGTCTTTGTTTTGTATTTTTGTTAAGCAAATTAGAGACAGTGATTTGGTATAGTTGAATTGTAATCAAAGAAGTTTGTAATTAGTTAAGTACAGCTAAGTTTAGGGTTTTCTACGCTGTAAAAGTATTAAGCAATTGCTTGTTTTAAAAAAAAAAACCCCATTTGCTAATTGTTAGTTTTGATTTAAAAAAAATCATTCCACTTAATAAAAATAATTTGTTTCACCATCATCCAGTAGTTTTCACTGGGTAGTCAGCTTTAACCCTTGAGGCTCCCATCACATCACCGAACCAAGGTGTAACAGTCTGTAAAAATCAAGATCTTGGCAGTGACCAATGATACACTTAAGGAATCTCTTGTGTTTGGAGAACTAAAATTGTATCAAAAGTTTCAGAGGGGTAGCAGAGTTAATCTGTAACAGGAAAAAACAAACAACGGATAGTCTGGTAGCACTTTAAATACTAACAAAACATGTAGGCTGTGTCTACACTGGCATGATTTTGCGCAAATACTTTTAACGCAATAGTTTTTGCGTTAAAGTATTTGCGCTAGAGTGTCTACACTGGCATGTGCCTTTGCGCAAGAGATGTGGTTTTGCGCAAAAGCATCCGTGCCAGTGTAGACACTCTCTTGCGCAAGAAAGCTCTGATGGTCATTTTAGCCATCGGGCTTTCTTTCTTGCGCAAGAACAGTTGCGCAAGAGGGCTTATCCCTGAGCAGGAGCATAAGAATATTTGCGCAAGAAACACTGATTTCCTACATTAGAACGTCAGTGTTCTTGCACAAGTACTTGCAGCCAGTGTAGACAAGTAGCAAGATTTTGCACAAAAGCGGGAGCTTTTGTGCAAAATCTTGCCAATGTAGACACAGCTCCAGATGGTATCATGAGCTTTCATGGGCATGGCCCAGTTCTTCAGATGGCCGGTCATCTGAAGAAGTGGGCTGTGCCCACGAAAGCTCATACCACCATCTACATGTTTTGTTAGTCTTTAAAGTGCTACAAGACTAAAATTGCATCAGTGCAGGACAGTGATTTTTACCCTGTGGTCCAATTTCAATCCTGGAGAAATTCTGTAATTGTTGCATTTGGAGCCATAGTAAAATTGCAGAATTCCTCCAGGACTACATCCATGGATACCTAAAGATAAGACTTAAATGCTAGCCTGTAAGACTAATGCTTGTGGAGAGCATAGGGGTAAACGTGTTTCATGAAAAAATGAGAAATAGAGAGCCAGTGACAAGTATATACAACTCTGATTGAAATTTTTAATGGAAACTTTTTTTAAATTATACAATTTATAAAAGTATCTAACCTGACCAGATTTCTAGCAAATTGACTCTGAGCCTCATAACTAAGGAAGGGGAAATAAAGGACAGCTCCAAGCCATCCCATCCTGTGCATCAATGCGTCCCTTTTGGAGACATTGAAGAGATTCAGGAAATTTACTCCTTTTAGCCTAGAGCTGGGGCAGGGAAAATTTTTGGGTTGGAGGTTGATGACCCACACACAAAAAGAAATCATTTTGTAGCCACATGCACGAGAAGCAAAAAAGCAAAAAACACACCACACACCCTTTTACGGTGATATCCTTTTTATTTAGTTTAATGACTGAGGTTGCTTTTCCTTGGAGAGTCTTGTCATGTCTTCTGGAACTGAAGAGGTTCACAACTGACTTTCCAGAGTCACATCTGTTCATCTCGCATGCACATAGTTCTTGACAAGCCTAGAACAGGCCTGTTTAAAGCAGTATGTAGTGCCAAACATTGATGCAATTTTCAGTGCATGTCTCCTTACGTTTGGAAATTTATTGGCACCTACATAGAGTCTGTAGAACTGCAGCACAGGCAAGCTGCTGTGTTTATCCCTAAGTTCATGATTGTTCTGCATTTCTGTAAGTTCATGTTGAAACACTTCATGTACATTACATACTTCTACACTCAATGGCATGAAAAAAATATTTAATTCCAGTTCCTTCGATATTAGGTCTTGAAATTGGTCACAAAATTTCTGAAGTAAATGTGCACACTCCCTGGCGTATTCTACTGTTGATGCAGGTTTTTGAGCTTGAAGGGTTGGGAAATGCGTCATGTTCCCCTTTTCCAGTTGCGTTTGCCACAGTTTTAATTTAGTTTCAAATGATTTGACGTGTGAAAGAAGGGAAATAAGAAGCTGGTTAGGCCCTTGCAATTTGACATTGAGTGCTGAGAAGTACTGAGTAATGTCAACCATGAATGCAAGGTCACAGAGCCACTTGGGGTTGCTCAGCTCAGCCACAGATTTTCCATTCATCTCCATGAAAAGTTTCACTTCATTCCTCAATTCATAAAACTGCTTCAGCGTATTCCCTCGGGTCAGCCATCGCACTCCAGAATAACTAACTACATCGCCATATGCTGCTTCATGGTCTTTCAATAGCTCTTTAAACTGGCAGCTGTTAAATCCTTTACTTTTGATAAAATTAATGCTTAGTACTGCTATTGACATTACCTTATTCAGTCGCATGGACTGTGCACACAGATTCTCTTGATGAATGTTGCAATGACACACAATCAACTTACTTGGATCAAGACCAAGGCGATCCATTTCTTTCTTGACTAAAGCAACTAATCCTTTCTGAGATTCAACCATAGCTGGAGCTCCATTAGTAGTAAGACCGCTCAATTTTTCAAATGATAACTGATAGCCATGCACTGCCGATATAACCTTCTCAAAAACGTCTTCACCTCTGATGCTGTCATGCATTGGTACTAAAGAAAGCAAGTCTTCTTGAATCTTAAAAACTGATGTGATTCCACGCAGGAAAATAGCCAGTTGGGCTGTACCAGTTATGTCTGTTACCTCATCAACAGCCAGAGAGTAGAACTCAAAATCAGCTGCAGAATCTTCCTGAGATATTTCAATATCATGAGTCTCATCCTTAATTCCATCTGACACTGTCCTGCGAGACAAGTTCATACTCTCAAATAACCTAAGTTTCTCTGGTGCCAGTAAAGCTGCGGTTGCAACGATGCACTCCTTTATAAATTCTCCATCTGAATGAGGCCGATTTCTTTTTTTAATAAGTTCATTCACCACATAACTTGCTTGCATAACACTGTCCATCTCCTTTTGTCTTTTTGTGAAAATTGTTTGCTGCGTATTCAAATTCTTTTGAAGTTCCTTAATTTTGTCCTCACGCAGCTGTCCCTGATATTCTTCATATTCAATATGCTTTGTGTTGTAGTGTCTTTCGAGGTTTGATTTTTTCAAGACAGAAATAACTTCTCTACAAATCAGGCAAATGGGCTTGCATTTCACCGCCACAATAAAGTATTCATTTGTCCATTTTTCATTAAAAACATGACACTCTGTGTCTATTTTTATTCTTTTGTTTGCAGAAGCCATGTTTAATTTGTTGGAACTCTTTTTACCTTCAGGCGGCCACCTGCACCATCAATGCATCTGCAATGAAGATACCATTTTTACTATAAGCTAGCTGTGACAAGGG